TATATTGTTGCTAACATGTTCCTCTGTTTCTCTGTGCTGTGGGATGTTAAAAAAAACATAATGCTGTGCGGTACCACAGCCTCCCGAGAGAAGGCCATCATCACCCGTGGACTGGAATCCTTCTCCTCCTTCTCCTGCATCCGCTTTAGGCCCAGCAGAAGCAGCGACCGTGACTGGCTAAGCATTGAGTCTCAGAATGGGTAAGAAATTGATATAATTGAAGAGTTTGCCTTGAAAGCTGTTGTCAAACATCACTGATCTTCAACTTATGTCTCATCCTGTCTAGCTGCTACTCTTATGTTGGACGTCGTGGTGGTAAGCAGGTGGTGTCTCTGTCCCGTAGCGGATGCCTTTACCATGGAACCGTCCAGCATGAGCTGCTCCATGCTCTGGGATTCAACCATGAACAAACCCGCTCTGACAGGGACAACCACATCAGAGTCCAGCTGCACAATGTTCAGTCTGGTAATGGAGTTATTCATTTTCCCCAATGGYGAAAGATCAAMTAAACTCAGATATAATGTACACTTCATGAATAAATAACTGGTAAGCAACACTGATGATAGACAATGCTGCCAAGTATACACTGTGGTATTGTACAATCAGGTCAAAGAAACATGAGATTGAGAAATATTAGGCAGGTGAAGAAAAGAGTCGTCCTTTGAAGGGAAACTTACAGCTACAAATTTTGACACAATCCTAATCATACATGAAACTGATGCTCATTGTTTGACTTCAGGTTTCTAACAAGATTATCCCTTTTCAYTTTTAGGAATGGAGCACAACTTCAGGAAGATTGCCACCCTCAACCAGGGCACTCCCTACGATTACAACTCWGTCATGCAGTACCACAAGTGAGAAGAACTGGCTGAACTTCAGCCCTCTAATGTTTTATCATACATATGTGTGTTTGTGTGTGTGTTTGTGTAGCACATGCTGTGTAACTACCTAACTGCTGCTGTCWTGTTGTAGGTATGCCTTCTCTAAGAACAASCAACCCACCATGGTCCCAATCCCTAACTCCAATGTGTCCTTTGGCAATGCCAAGGAGATGAGCCGCAATGACATCGCCAGGCTCAACACGCTCTACAAGTGCTGTRAGTGTACACATGCRTAGTGCCMCTCTCCAGTTTTTGTTGAATACTCTTCAACATGTTGCACGCTCTTAGRACTAAAAGTGCTRAGTARAACCATAAAGGGTTCTTTGTCTTGTCCACAGGAGAACGCTTTTTTGTTCCAGGTCTTTTCATAAAGGTGCAACTTCGAACCCTTTCCAAGCTTTTTTACAATAACCAAAGTTTTGATTAAGATAATTTGTGTAAGTGTTAGAACACTTGGTGGATAAGGAGGGGAGACTCTTATAAACCACATCAATCCAGATCGTTCCATTTTAACATTGATGTCCTGGCTGTGTGTCTCACACATGCACTAGACTCTGCAGATCCTCCGTAATTTCTCCAGAGGAGGTGCATGTGGGAACACAAATGTCCGAGYGAGACGCTCTGCATGTTTCTACAGACTTTATCTGCCTGACCTCAGAGGATAAAGTCCTTAGAAATCCAGGAGAAGTTSATGTGAGAACACAGCAGGGAATCCCCGCTGGATTCACTGCGAGCGAGGGATTCCAAGAGTTTGTGGCGATAATTCAATTCAATTCAATTTTATTTGTATAGYGCCAAATCATAATATACATTATATCAAGGCACTTTACATAGAAGGTCAGGACCTTAAAATCWAAATATAGAGAAACCCAACAGTTCCCACAATATAAGATAAGAGCTGACAACTGTGTTGGAGTGCTTTAAATAAAATCACGTGATCTACRCAGCGGAATTAAAAYSTCACTTCTTGCCTCTGCTTTTTTGTTTCACAGGAAGCCTGCCCAGATGTAGACCTGTACACACCAGCACAACATTCAATCATCATCCAATAAATGTATTGTGACTGAATGACAGCAGACTCCCTTCATTCTTTCATTGCATCCTCTTTGTTTACTTTAAGTAAATGAGGCACATTCATTCAATCATCTATTCAATCATAACATAACATTCTAGCATGATGTCACATTAAATGTTGACATTATCTCAGGTTGATAGATGAAATTCAGAGGAACATATTTGAATTTGATCAAAAACACAAAGGGGTTGTGATCTGAAAACAAGACTTCTCATGGGAATTTAGGTTGTCTTTGTCATTTCTCCATTTCTTTTGGGAGGTGGGGCATTCTGCTCCTAGGTGTCTTGTCTTTTGCCATGATGCTTGTCAACAATAACACATAACAGCTATCTGTGAATCCTTTACCCTGACTGTGACCTGACAAATATCCAACTGAAGACCACCCTGAAGGACATACTAGTGTAGTGCTTTATTTATTTTTTTAATTGCAGAAATGTTTGAAGGTGTTTTTTTTTATTGGCTTTTGTGATTCCGTGTACTCGATTATACCCAAGACATTTTTTACATTTCCACTATAAAATGATATCTCTGTGAGGGATTAAAAAATGGTTTCAAAACACATATCCTCTACTTCTTTTAAAAAAGCTTACTTATGGTCTAATGTTTCCAATTCACAATGTGGCAGAATGCACAACATAGTTCAAATGCACTAATACTGCAGGCTTGTCAACTAAAACTAATAAAATTAATTTTCAGATATTATACTTTACATATCCAATCAACACATTACATCAATCCATTTATGATCTATACCTCTCACCCTTTAAGGGTGGCTGGAGCCAATCCTAGTTGACATCGGGTAAGAGGCCTGCACTGTAAGCCAGGTGAAGTCATTCACACACATACAGAATTCATAAAGTGCATACAGCCCAAGGCCATTTAAGGACAAGTATTTCTGTAGTATTTAGACTGGACCCTAGCAGGAATTATCAAACTATCTTTACACTTACACAAAGTAGTTGCTGGTAGTCGTAGATAGCACAGATGTTGTATGTTTCCTCGACTTTTTTTTTTTTTTTGCTGCCTACAGTATAGTTGTATTAACACAATTAAACCATGTAGTAGCAATCATGTAGTGATTCATGTAACCAGATTTGAATCTACACCACAATTTGTTTCTGACTCATTCCCCAAAAAACAGATATCGTTCTGTCTCAAATTATAAATTGGCTTAATGGGACCCATATAGATAAGGATTTGAATAACTTGATGAAGTGTATTAATACACACATTGTTCAATAATAATCAGTGCAATTAAACAGTCATATGATGTTTTTTTAGTTGTTTATTTTTTTCCACCATTGATTATTTTAATCATCATCATGAGGTTGTATGCTGTGGGAGGTGCAGAGGTTGACTAGGTTAGGCGTGCTCTGGATGCAAAGCTGCTGAACCTCTTTGGAGACTATAGAAGAAGAGGGGTGGGTTTGCAGCTTAATGGCCCATGCACTCCTTTATATTGTGCTCTAAGACTTTTTCAGGAGACCACTTCACCAGCCACTGTATCTCCTCACTGCAGGGTCATTATTATGGTAGAATTTCGTGTTTCGTGCCATGTGTTGAACACTGGTGGGGAAGCAGGAATAGGTAAAAAGCAATAGATTTATTTACACAAAGCAGGATGAATGGAAAACAATGAATGAATGGGCTTTTATGTCATAGTCTCTGGTTTTTATGACATTTTTGCTCCATAATGGCTGCCTGCCAGGGCCTAAATAAGCAGAGGCAAAGTAAATGGCAGCTTGTGGTGCTTATATATATATATATATATGGAAAATATTGATTAGGACATCAATTAGGCAGGTAAAAAAAAAATCCAGAGATACAATAACTGGTCTTCAGGTTGGTTGAAGCATTTCACCGCTATGGTGAATGATGCTCTGATTTGCACTTTGACGTGACATCACTTTCACGTTATTTTACCTTCACGTTATCGGTGTGATTGTGTATTTCAAGTTCTGCCAGTGAGTGACCTCTGTCTGTAAACGCTAGATGGCAGTACCGTTATTTTCAGACGGAACATAGGCGCTGTGGGTTACTCGGCCGCAAGAAGAACGAGAAGAGCTTCCTGTCTCCCCTGGCTCTCCAAAGATGGCGGACATGTGTGGCCAAGTATTGCTGGGATCAGGGCTCACCGTCCTCTCCCAGCCTCTGATGTACATCAAAGTCCTGATCCAGGTACGGGGCGGGGGGGGGATATTCGTGCTAACATTCCAGGAGCTACTTTAGTAACTGTTTGCTTTCCTTTGCAAATCCCAAATAACTCAACTAGCCAGCAGGCTTTAGAGGAGAGTATCAAAGTCCATCGAATGTAACGCAGTTTAATGTAAGCTTGCTTATCATTAAAAGCACGTACAATGTAGAGCATGGCTTAAGACCGTTAACGAATCACCATCACAGACTGTTAAAGTCAGCATCTTTGTAAAACACAGCAGCACAAGTTCTGATACAAATTCTAACTACATTATCGCTGCGGCTCTTGTCCTAATGACCTTCTGTTTCCAAAACACTCTGTAGTACGCGGAAGCGACGCGCGTGAACCCATTGTTGCGGTTCACACTGAAATACAGTGCTGCGTCTTTTAATGTGTGTATGCACAGTGTCGGGCGACACTCAAGTCGTCCTGAGACACAGTCACACAAACGGTTTCATCGTTTCCGGCGAGTCGAGGCGTAATAGTCGCGGGAGGTGGAAGCTAGTTAGCTGACAGTTTAGCAGCTTCGTCTTGCTGTCTGACCTCACAGCCTCAGTGTGGCTGCTGCCGCGTTTGAAGACATTATGCAGTGGTTTGTACTGTCCGGTCACAGTGAAAGGTCAGGGTTAGCTAACGTCCCTTCGTTAGCTGTTGTGTGTATGTACAGTTGTCTTGTTAGTCCGCAGTTTGCCTTCTGTCTCTTTGCATCTTAGATAACACAATTGATTGCAATGCAGGATTAAGGGCTCTCTTTACAAGCCTGGTATTTGGGGTCCTGTGGCTCACTAAACTAGCTAACACTAGCATCTTAAAGCAAACGCATGGAATTATCAGCAATTTACAAAGTGAAACAGTGAGGGGGAAGTGGAGAGTCCCGGGGTGTGGAGATATGATGAAGGTTCATTCAGAGAGCAGCTACGCTGATCTCTACATCGGTACATGTTGTCTTTCACTTGTTAATATGGTTTGTGTTGGCAGGTAGGACATGAGCCGCTCCCTCCCACCATGGGCAGGAACTTGTTTGGCAGACAAGTCTACCAGCTCCCTGGACTGTTTGCTTATGGTGAGTCTGCCTCTCAAGGCCAAGTCCTTTCCACAATTGAAATCAGTATTTGTATTGATTACAGTGCTTCTAAGAAGGCAGTAGTAGATGTGTTTAATGCCCTTCAGTGTTATTGAATTGGTATGTAATCTTGTGCTACACTAGCCATTACTTTAAATGTACCAATTGGGTTGTGAGTTTTGAAAATGTTAGAGATGTGAACTAGTTAACTTGTAAAATTCTTATCATATTTATGAAATGTTGGGTTACTTTGTGCAGCACTGAGAACCCTCATACATTCTTGCCCATGTAAGAATTTTTTCTGTTGGAATGTTACTGTATTTTCCGGATATCAGTAGGAATATGAAGCTCCTATAAGTACATATTTGTACAGTAATGACAGATGTTCAGGGAAATCTCTTGACTTGTAAATTCCCTAAACTGTGCCCCATTGAGTTTTATCCCAAACATAGTTTTGTGTACATTTGGTGTTACACCCTGACTTATCCAGGGATGTGTGCAAGTTTGCCATGTGCCACAACCCTGTAGCTGCTGTCTGTTGTTTTTAAGCTATGTCTTGATCGGGTGGAAGAGCCAAGTGGTTGATTTTACCTACATTGTCTGTACAATAAATAAATTGTTAATTTGTAATGACAAGAAATGCTTTTACCTGCAGGTCAGTTCAGTTGCAGTCTCACACATAGTGATTTTAAACAAAGTGAAATGTAAATATGATTACATGACTAGAAATGATACACTGAGAAATCTTTAAATAAACACAGGCATTTTATTAAGTTTTATTGCTGAGTAGATTTGGTCTTTTGTCTAATGATGAACAAGCTATTGTAGACATGTGAGGCATATAAAAAGTAAAGTGAAATAGTTATTGTGTGATGAGGTCAGTCTGACTGAAATATTCAACTGTCATCAGAGGGTTTAGCTTTTATTTCTCCATATTGCTCTAAGTTGCATTGACGAATAATAATCAAAGTATTAACACTGTCTGGAATTCTCTCAGTCAAATAATCTGTGATGAAATGAAGCTGTGATAGTTATTGTGTATTACTTTTTTGTGATTAAACTATCCCTCTGTTTATTAGAGGTTTGTTTTCAAATAAGAATGGACTCATGGAAGGTCTAGAACATTAAAACCACTTCACTGATCAAATATTTCCTGCTCTTTAAGAGTCTGTTGTGCCTTTCAGGATCCCTTTAGAAGAATGAGTCTGATTAGCCAGTAGTTGGGCTGTTGACAGGTTTTGATCTGTGTCCTCGAACTTAACCTGCTCTTGAGAAAGTTTGCAGTACAATGTTATTTACCGTGAGAATTTACCCAGATAAGTGGTAAACCTGTAGTTACTTCGATAACCACAGATCCTGCTTTGTACTACAGGCCTCTGATCATCCAACGATAATGCACATGTAGGAATGTCACCATATGAAATTTTGGTGCCACGATTATTGTCAGAGGAAATGTCATGGCTTCAGGATATTCTACGATATAATATTGATACTATAGAAGGAAAACTAACAACAATAACAATAATAGATAGCTAATAAGATAGCTAATAATATAGCTTGTGAACTAAAAAACTTTATATTATCATCAACTTTATCCAGTTAGTTTTTATAATGTCACGTTTGGCTTTTCAAAAGTAATTTATGTAAGCTATTTTATTTAGTTGCCTTATTGTGGAAGATTGTTCAATACATTTGTGTTTCCTGTCA